GTAAACTCCAAAATGATGGCACTCATGATGCATTCATCTATTATGTAGCCCACTTTGTTGCTTTACCACTTGGTGCGCTTATTGCTGCCTAATGACATTTGGCTGTGTTCCTCGATGGAGCTTTTGTGGTAGGTATACCGATCATTTATAGACCAAAGGCAACCTCTCAATCTGATGAGAAATTTGGGATTCCTTTGTAGGTGACATAAGTACAAGCAAACATATATCAGCAAAGACGGATTCAAGAAGTCGTTTTGTGGTCACTTTGAGAATGGGCAGCTGGAAAGAAGAGCACGGCAACAGGGTGAAATGAATGCCAAACGCTATGCTATAATTGGTTGCCAAAAGCTTGCAAATGATTTGGACCGCGAAGTGGAAGCAACCAATCTTCTGGGCAAGGTAACCTGCAATAGCAACTACTATGATTCGCGTGTTTTTAGCTCTTAACACCATTTTTCTTTAGCATAATCGGATAGTCTCTTTCAGGATGATGAAGAAGAATCGAGCAATGAGCGTATATCCGTCGGGACAAGGATTAAGCGACAAGCTATACGAACTCACGAGCGTTTCAAGGCCGGTGCCAAATTGAATGCAGCTGAAAGGAAGGATCCCCTTGTTCTCAAAGAATGCGATTGACACCCACGGTATGCATGGAATATTGCCGTTCCAGGCAATTGGCAGACATATGTTTTTCTACTTGACAACCTTGTTGAATGATGCGCTGTACGTCATGTTGGAAATTGGGAAGATCGAAAGGAAGCCTGCATGATCCCATTCTCTTCAACTTGTGTGCTTCTTGATATCGAGTGACGATGAGATCGAGGACTGGTGACGAGTACGAGTGATGAGGGAGGACGAAGACGAGGATGGCGGCAATGTAGCTAGATGAAATAAAGCATTGTTTATTTATTACACGCTTGGACTTTGCTAGCTTGTGGTTTACATACTATTGCTTCGAAGACGGGAATAATAAAGGTGGTTCGGTTATCGTCATGCAAAAAGTATATGGCTTTTGTGATACAATAAGGAGGAGTGGGATGACCTTGAGAAGAGAAAAAGTGAAGTGATCCCTGCATTGAGTTTCAGGATGAGTGACCCATCACTCTATGTTTCACTGTCATCTTCGTGCGCTGCTATGGCTCAGGCACAAAGTCGTCCTCCTGCTTCAACGTCTTTACAACGATATGCAAATGTCATGAGTTCCCCTTCACACAACAAAGTCCAGAATCCATGTCATCTACAAAGTCACCTTTCAAGTGGCAGGTGGATTTATCACTTCGACTCGGTACTCCAAGATGATGCATCATGACCACTTTATCAATTCGATCCATCATGGCAACAATCCCACGACCTACTCACATATAAATAAGGCTGTGGTCACCAACACTATCATACACCCTTTCTTTCTACTTGTCTGCATCGATGGCCTTTGATAAGTCACAAGGATAGTCTTTATGTGGTCGATAAAACGGAACCGATTCACCACGCTTATTCGTAACCCGACTGCATAAAGAAAATGAGCGCTCAGGGAGATTTCTTAGCGTCTTCTCTGTTACAAAACCTGCTTCCATTTCCTTGTGCACCATTAGCAGCATGTCTTACCAACTCGGCAGCTTTATTTTCTACCTCCCAAGTCATCAGCTTCTACGTCTCTAGTCTTTGTATTGTAAGCGCGATGTCGAAATGAGACACGTAGACGTGACATGACATGACGTAGCTCACACTACTGCTTGCTTTAGACGATGCCTCCCCACTCGTGAAGTTGTCGATCGCATGATACTGTCAACACCACACCTTCATCGTCGACATTTCAATGAGTGACGGAAGGGAGCCATGAGATGTGGTAGAATCATTCTATCCGCGCTTTTATTCTCAGATGATAATCATAATAAAACAAAAAAAGAAATCTATCATTGTCTCCTTATATCTTTCTAAACGCAATGGAAAGGTTTTTGATGAAGATGTGGTAGGGTGTTAGGGTGAGGTGGATTTCTACCACATCTCATGGCTCCCTTCCGTCACTCATTGAATTGCCGGTCGTGCCTACGACAATTCGAGGTGACTCCAGGTCGCCAATCGATGTGGTATGATTCTCCGAACGATCAAAAACCGTGGCTAAAATCCCTTGGCTACGCCCATGCTGGTCGACTGGTCGATAATAGTAATCCTCAAACGTAGTACTTGTCAAACTCCAATTCGCATGTTCTTTGACCGCTTGAATAGATGAGCCCTGTGTCACGGCCTTGGTGGATGATGCGGAGCGAATGGAGTGGGGTTTGTGTGTGGTGGTGTCAATGTTTGCTGCCTCCATCACTTCTTGTACCCATGTGGCTATTGTGGCTTCCCTTACACTTCGTGGCTTGCTTGATTCAACGTTTGAAAGGAAAAGCTTTTGATCTTCAGGTAAATGTGCACGTTTTCCCTTCGTTTTTTCCATCCACAACCACAACGATAACACTGGACATATATCATTGTTTGGCATGCGTGCAATCTTGGAAGTCTTTGGCCTGCCTTCTTTAGGGTAACGCACCAAAAGAGTGACACCATGATAAGAGCCATCATTGTTGTACACAAACTCTACGTCCTTCAATAGAATAGCACCAATGTCCGATCGTGGACGCCACATTGTTGCCACACATAATAAGACCACTGTGCGTACTTGCAGCTGTTGTAATGATAAAAGATCGGCTGGTCCCCAAGTGCGAATCACGTCCAAAACCAAATCCACGTTCCATACGGGCTTATCGCCATTCTTCAAATCCAAGTGTTCGACCTTGTGTGCTTTGAGAAAAGCACTCACCAAACGATGCTCGCCAATAGGAGGTCGATGTGGATGTGTTTCTCTGAATACAGATGCGATACCCGAACGTATGCCCATGAGGGTATTTGGTTTCAAGTGCCGATGGGCCATCAAAAAGTTCACCAACTGCTTGGGGTCATAAACCATGCTATCCACTTGAGGTTGTTGTTCATCACACCATTTCTCCCAGCGATTCCAGTGGCTATCATAACGTTGGTGTGTACGTCGACGTTTTGCATTATCAAGATAAATGGCTGCTTCTTCCGTTAACCCATCTGCCTTCCTCTTGTTGTTGATAATTTCCATGCGACGAGAGAAAGATTGCGTCTGACTTGAAACACCATTGGCCTCGTTGTTGTTAATGCTGTCACCATCGGCCACCAGTATTGAGTTGGCCAATTCGGTGTCACCATCACCGCTTGCTTCACTCGCTGTTGCCGTAAGTATCGTATCACTGCTGGAATCAACCTCCAAGGGGGATGGAGATATAGACCCTTCTTCGGCCAAACTTGTTTGAAAGCATCGATGGCTTGAGCTTTCTTGTCCGGTTGCCAACTCCAAAACCTCGGTAGGCGTGCATTCTCTGATGATGCAAACGCATCGATCTTCATCTTGCCCCAAGCCTTGGTCACGTGGTTGAAGAATCTGCGAGGAAGAGTGTACTCGTACACTGGTTTCTTGATGCGACTCAACTTGTCGGCCACCTTGTTCTCCACACCCGCTATGTGTTGATACTTGATGTGGATATTGTATTTGAGGCAAAGCTCGTGTATGTCCAAAGCCAAATCTTGCAGGATTGGTGATGCTGTACCTCCAGCCTTGCTGCTGTATTTCAGGGCTGTCACATTGTCCGTGTACAAATGGAAAATGGAGTTCGGATTCTTGGGAGCTATTGCTTGCAATGCAAATAGGATAGTCTTCAATTCTCGTGCATTGATTGATAAGCCCTTGTCTTGTTGGTTCCAAAAGCCGTACAGATCTCCCTTGTTGCTTGTGATCCCCCAACCAGTATCTGATGCATCGGTATAAATCGTTACTGTAGGATTCTCCATATCCTTTTGCTGCATTGGTAAACCATTCCTCACGCTTGCCATTTTCTGCCACCACATCAGCTCTTTTTTGGCTTGTAAGGATAACGGACAAGAGGCTTCCCAATGTTGATTCGTCATCTGAAGTGCCTTCGAAAGATCCCTTTGAAGGTATCGGACGTGCAGCAATGCATCGCCTATTGCTGGGATCATCGAGGTAATCTTCCCCAACATCCCTGCGATCCATCGGCATGTGCGTGTTTTTTGCATTGCTTGCTTGATTCTGGTAAGAAGCTTGGCCATCTTGTCTTTGGGCACACTTATCATCATGGTTGATGTATTGAAAGTGAAACCCAGGTAGTCTTGTATGTGTGAAGGTGTGAGGCAGCTCTTCTTCCAGTTGATTATAAACCCCAGCTCCGACAATTGACGAATCACCTTGGCCATGGTCTTGTGCATGTCTGTTTTTGACTTGGTGAGCAAACATACGTCGTCCAAATAGTATACAAGTCGAATACCTTGTCGTCTCAATCCTTCCACCGCATGACGCATTAGTTTCGAAAAAACTCTCGGTGCCACACTCAAGCCAAAGGGTAGAGACCGGTATTGGTACACTGTGTCTCGATGCCTGAACGAAAGATAACGCCTCGATTCCTCGTGAATAGGTACCACCACGTAAGCGTCTTTCAGATCCAATTTCGTCATCCAATCGTCCTTCTCGATTAAATCCCTCAAGGCTGGGACCCCTTCCATCTTGAAGTGATTGCATTGTATGAATTGGTTGATGCGTTTGCAATCCAATATGGGACGAATCTTGTTGGGCTCTTTGATCGTAAAGAAGTTTGAAAGGAACCTGTCGTCTTGGGTGGGTGATTTCTCGATCACCTTGGAGTTGAGAAAAGTTGCAACCGCTTGATCCACATGGGTCTGATCCTCTGGTGACAATTGGATTTGATGAGCTTTCCATGGAATCGGTTGTTTGTGAAACTGTAACCGATAGCCTTCTTGTACCACTGTCCGTGCCCATTTGTGCCACGTGTGCTTGTGCCATGCTGTTGCAAACCTTGACAATCTCCCCCCCGGATGTATCCCATCCTCTGGAATATGATAATGTTGGCCATCCTTCATTGGCATTGGTATCCCAACATGGTGGTGGGGTTGTTGTGGCTCTTTCATTGGTTGGTGGATTGGTCGGGATCGGTGTTGGAGTCCTTGGGTCTGGAGGGATGGTGATGGTTTCTCCCGAAAAAAGATTTTCTCGCACCCCTGTAGAAAGGCTTGCCTCGATTGTTGTTGAATCCTTGTCGAGATCCCTAAGGTCTATATCCACCTGAGGCTTTTCTTTCAATTGACTCTTGATACCTTGCATCGAATATCTCTTTGACAGCTTTTGGAGAGAAGGCCAAGTCTTTTTCTTCGTCTTCTTCGACGTCAATGTAGCGAACTGCTGTTGGTAATCGAAGAGTTTTTCGAATAGTTTCCTTTGTTTCAGCGTCAATGGTCTTTCCACTGCCAAAGGCATAGACGGCAAGTCGTCTCGATCTTTCAAGGATGTTGACCAAGTACTCTTCATCGCTTGGGTCACCTCCTCTGTTGATGATAAAATGGAGGTCCTCGTAGATCTCGGTTGCAGCTCGAGCTGCTTGTCGAAGCTTGTCTGCATCCTTGTATCTTGCTTGGATGGCTGTATGGACGTCAATGCTTCGTCTTTTGAGTTCAGGGATGAATTCCTTGTTGATGGCACCTGATTGTGTCCATTTTCCTCCTGTGTACGACTTGATGTCCTTTGTGAATCGCTTAAGATTCTTCTCCATGGTGGTCTTGGAAGTGGTTTCCAAATCTTGGAATATGGCTTCTGGTAACTCTGTATCTTCTTCATCTTGGAGTTTGATACGTCTTGCGAGTTCCAAGAGCTCTTGGATTTGTTCGGTTGACAATTCATTGATATCCATGAATATCCACGACTGCGCGGCTTAGAAAGATATAAGGAGACAATGATAGATTTCTTTTTTTGTTTTATTATGATTATCATCTGAGAATAAAAGCGCGGATAGAATGATTCTACCACATCGATTGGCGACCTGGAGTCACCTCGAATTGTCGTAGGCACGACCGGCAATGCCTTTTTCACCGCCGTCCCTTGTCCTCGACCGCAACTCCAAACATGGACAACACAACACCATCATCACCATCCATCATCCATCATCATCATCATCGTCATCATTGTTGCTGTTTTCAGTTGCAAATCCACATCCATCACATCCAAGAGTAGAGCGTTATGAGCCCTATTCACACCTTGTTGCCACTCTACCCGGCATCTGATCCTCGAACAAGTCATACGCGTGAACATGGATGCGAGGAAAGGGGGTTTCATTGGTATCGACCATGCTACAAGCACAAACAGCTACCGTCCATGTTCGAGATGAAATTGCGGCATCAACGTTGGAAGAAGGCTTGGTAAGAGGGGGAGAGGATTCAATAGCGTGTGTGTACAGAGATTGATTGTAGTGTTGGATTACAGGTGACGGACATACTTCCATCACTCTACATACTCAGTACTCCAAGATGCTTGACCACTTTATCAGTTTGATCCATCATGACAACAATCCCACGCCCACTCACATATAAATAAGGCTGTGGTCACCAACACTATCATACGCCCTTTCTTTCTACTGCTTGTATTCATATCTTCATCAATGGCCTTTGGTAAGTCTCAAGGATAGTCTTCGGGTGATCCCCAAAATGAGGGTACTCATGATGCATTCATCTATTATGTAGCCCACATCATTGCTTTTCCACTTGGCGTGTTCATCGTGGCCTAATGGCGTTTGACTGTGTTCCTTGATGGACCCTTTGTGGTATGTGTATTTGTAGGCAAAAGGCAACCTCTCAATCTAATAGGGAATTGGGACTTCTTTGTAGGTGACATAAGTACATGCGTATAAATAGCTCTTTGCAAGGATAGTTCGCTTCTCAAGAACAACGTCATCTTCACGAAGGATATCCATATGACCATATTGAAACCACAATGATCGATCAGGGCGGCTGGATACCAATGCTTACAATGGAGCAGCACCATGCCGCCGGATATGCTCCACGGCTTCCTAGGACCGATCTTCGTGGATAATATTCTAGTTAGCCGTAAATTCAGAAGTATGCTCACCAAGAACTTCAGACATGTTCCTTATTCCACATTCAAATTTGAATAAATATATCTCAATCATTTGCTTACCATCATTACCATTAACATTCAATCATTTGCTCCATTTATAAAAAGTAATCCATCACGAGAACTATCGAATACGATGATCATTTAGTAATGGGTTGATAAGAAGCACCGTGGGCCGGTTGATTGCTAATTAGGATATGGCATGCTATACATTTACAGTTTCTACGTATGTATGTGCCGGATACCAACTGTCATTGACTCCAAGCAAGATTCTTTGCTACGCCCCAGGAAGTGACAATATGATCCCACGCGCCATTGACAGTAATTGATATATATAACTCATTCACAGCGATCATACCTACATCCTCCTCATCCATCGATGCAACAACGTTATTCATAGCTGTCGTGGAAACAGAATAGAAATGTTGCCATGACAAAATTTCAATTCGTTGGATCATGACTACCGCATTCAACCAGTACATAGCCTATCTCCAGGTAATTCCAACCATGTGAGTGCGTTGTACATTGATCAGCATCACCAGCATGCATTTGAGACAACGAGAAAGGCATCCTTTCGTTGCTTAAGAGACACGTTTTGCATTATGTATTCTTTGCTGTAGCGTGATTTCAAGCATCGGTCCCTTTGAGGTATATCCAATATCTTTTGTAATCATAACCTTATCCCATATACATATAAATGTCACCACAACACAAAATAAAGAACCATACGTTGAATTCACATTATCCGATACGGACGATTGCTTTTGGCTTTGTATAGTCGCGTCCCTCTTACGACATGTGCCTCTATGTTTTACATATGCTGTAAGCGTGATGCTATATGCAAGGTGATCTTTGCTGATTGTCGATCGCCTCACTCATATTAGAAGCCAATGGACTTGTTTCTGTAACTAGCCGAGAGGGCGAAGTCGATCCTATTGGTGGAGCGTGCATGATGGATATTTTCCCCTTATACCTCTATATATGTTCCGCCTGTGGTAGCCTGTATGGGATGGTTCGTTCTTATAAAAAGTTGCATGAGATAGCGTTTGCCTGAAAGTGGACGTGGATAAGCATTCATGTACTCGTGCCTCATAGTATCAGACGCAGCCCACTCTTTCTCGATCATAACGAGTTTATAAGCTACAATGAACCATGTTTATGTAACAATCGAATTTATTGCGTTTGAAAATTGACACTGCCTTTTGTCTAATGACAAAGGAACAAAAGCATCTCGGTAGGATGGCGTAAATGACACAGACCCGCTTTCCCACATTCAAATTTCTCTCACTTCTTTCAATCCAGAAACCAACCCAGAGTGATCCTCATCTTACACGTATAGCTGATAATACAATATTGAATCCAATTTTCATTTAATAAGATGGTCTAAGAATAGCACATGGTAGTGTGGATGGTTTTTATATAGCAAGCATGATAAAGCAAATTGAATAAGATACGAGTGAATTACATAGAGTGAACGGGGATCATTGTGCCATTGTATTCTTGGTTGCTGCCGCTATAGCCAAACCTTTCATCCATGATTACAAAGTTGCTGCTACATGCCTTGATTCGAGCGCTCCAATATCGCTCATGGATGAAAAACACCACCCGTCAAAGACATGAACCCTTTCACCAATTCCATCTAATCCATCATGATCCTCAGCCGTATCCACGCGATATGATCCATAGTTTCTGCAGGCAATGTACCTTCAGAGCAACATTCCAGGGTTTCTCGTCATTGCAAATCCAATTTGTTGGTTGAAAAGAGTCATGTGATCGCTTCTGATATGCTTCTTTTTCCATCCGGTTGTTGGCCTATCTCTTCCTTCATCATGTTCCATCGCAGCTCAACCAGAAGATTCCTTGTATGGCTGTGTAGTTGATAGCTGATATGGCATCATCCACAGGAATCCATATGTATTCAAACACGTTGCCACACGTAAATAAAGCTGCTTCGATACAGTGGCTGTCTGCTGTTCGCTTGAAAAGGCTGTAAGACACGTTGCTGCAAGTAAAGAACGCTGCTCGAGACAATGATGGAGCCTAGCTAATGAAAACTGCTGGAATAAATGCTGTTACGTTTGATTGTGGTCGACGAGTGTGCAAGAACGTGTGTTGTGTCAAGGGGCTCGTGTGTTGTAGTAGAGTGACAAAAAGGCTGTGTACGCGCCATGGAGTTGCCATTCAGTCAAAGACAATCGGATCAAGACAAGTGTAGGATTGACATGATGGGTTGAAGAAGGTCAATCGTTTGCAGGTGGTAGTCATACTTGAATGGGGCAACAGTTGAGGATGGGAGGAAGAGCAAGATGCGGGAGGAGGAAGAGGTGGAAATTAAATAGGCGGGACACCTCTTGTATAAATGCATGAACACTGTACATCAACCCTTGATATTGAGATTCCCCCCTCTCGAACCTGAAGTTTTCATACAATGTGCTCTGGGACATGCTGATCAACGTTATTCATTTAAAAACCACAGGCTTCATTGTGAAGATTTAAAATGCGGGGCGGCCCAAATGTAGGAGAGGCGATGAACTGCGGGAACGTAAGAGTGGACGGCCCACCGCCCCGAAGTTGCCTGCTTCAAACTTGAAAATTGGTCAGAAGGGTGCTCCGAGCATGTTGATCAACTTTTTTCTAATAAAAACCTCACGCCTCATTTGACCATTTGGAATGGGAGCGTCCAAAAGTTTGAAAGACTGAGACATTCGCAAGGTCTGCGATTCATTAATTTTCATGTTTGCTCTTCCAGCGTAGCTCAGTCAAATCGGCTCGGATCAAGAAACTTGAATGATGGAAATGCTCGGCTGGAGCAGGAGAATCGTTCACATGCATTGGTTTGGGCAACAATGGTGAATGGGAGGAGTGGACTATTAGCTCTCCTATATATGGACTATTGTGAATAGCCATAAAGTATAATCCATCAATCCTTTCAGTCATGCAAAGTAGCTGTGTTACACGAACACGTCCCTCTGCATCTTTTGCTCTGCCAGGGTCTAGCTACTTCACAATGAACAAAGACCACTTCTCATATAGCATCACGCTTACAAACATAAAGGTGCCTGTATCTTCAAACTTTACAATGAAACGTGGGGTTTTTATTAGAGCAATGGACTCGGCTTGGCCAACAGCACCTTGTGTGAAAGTTTCAAGTTCAATGTCGCGATCAGCCCAAAAAATATTTTTTGGTCGTCGAAAAAAGTTTCAAGAGGTCGACCCCTGGATCCAGTTTGGCTGGTGGCGACATTGCGAAATCTGGGATTGGCAAGCTTGATCGTGAAACTTTCACACAAGGTGCTGTTG